GAGGGAGGGAGGGAGGGAGGGAGGGAGGCCTGAAAAGATTGAACTGTTCAAAACACCCACAGACTTTTTTTTTTTTCTGGTACCAAGGATCGAACTCAGGGCCTTACACTTGCGAGGCAGGCGGCGGAACCACTGAGCTAAATCCCTGGCCCTTGTTTTTGTTTTTTTGTGACAGGGTCTCGCCGTGTAGTTCAGACTGTCCTTGGACTCACTATTAGGCTGGCCAAGATCTCACAGTGATCCTCCTGCCTCAGCCTCCCATAGTCCTAGGATTACAGGTGTGCGCCACCATGCCTGGCCATCCAAAGATTTTTGCAACAGACATTTTTTCCTTTGAGATGGGGTCTTGGTATGTAGCCCATACTGGTGTTGAACTTGTAATCCTCCTGTCTCGGCCTCCAGTGTGCTAGGATTATAGGCTACACCATCATGCTCAGCTCTTAAGAGTTTTTACACATGTATAATATATGTAACATATAACACTCCTTGTACTGATTAAACATTGATTGGGCTTATTTTAAACAGATTAATAAATCCTTATGAAACAGATTTTGTCTTATGACTACTAAATAAAACCACCAGTGTGAGCCGAGTCCCCGCCCACCTGTGCACACATGCCCCCCCCAGGGGGGGAGGAGCATGTCCTGTGCGACTGTGGCTCCAGCAGGCACTTCTGAAGGCTGGTGCTGTCCCTCGGCTGCGTTGCGCAGCCTGGCACGCCTGAAGGACCTCACCACGCAGTGCGGCTGTGGGGCAGCACCAGCCTTCACACCACTTGTGTTCTGCTTCAGTGACAACTGGCCATATTCAAGGACAGTGCTTTGGGTTTGAAGGGGAAGCAGGGCAGCAGTGGTGGGCCTGGTGACCTGGCCTGTGTACAGCCTTCCTCCGGAGGGTGGCCCTGAGCTGGGTATGCGCTAGCCAGGACTCAGGCCAAGTCTCACGGTGGGGACGGCAGGGCCGGTGAGGGTCACTACCTAGATGGCGCCATGGAACTGCCGCCCTTGGCTACCAGGGTGTGCAGGGCTGAAGAGAGCGCACTGCCTGCTCGCTCCCCTCCCCACCCGCCTCACCTGGTCTGCCATTCCGTCTCCTCTTTGGCACGCTCCCTTCGGGCTTCTCTCTGCTTCTCCTCCAGCCGCTCCTTTTCCTGGCTGGCCAGATCTAGGTCAGAGCAAACAGGCTCCAGGTCAGTGTCACGCCTGCCCCAAGCCGCAGTCACTTCAGAGACACCAGGACCCTTCCCTCTGACCTCCTTGGCTGGAAAGCCATGGGCAAGTGGGGTTCTGTCCCAGGTGCTGAGGCCCAGCTGCTTCCACCCCACCCTGCATCGGTGCTGAAGGGGCTTCCCAAGGACACGCAGAGCCGGCTGGCACCATGCTGGGCGACAGCACTGCTCCATGTGTGGGCCATGACGCACTTGGCAACTCATTCCCACCTGACGCCCAAGCAAGTGAGTTCACACAGCCCTCAAGTGTGAATCCAAAGCCACTTGCCACTTTCACCAAAGATGAGCCTATTTAACCTGTACCCCCCCGGATGAACTGTCGCTCCTGGTAAGCTGAGCTCAGAGCTCGTTCAGGGTCAAGTGGGAGTAGACTCCTGGGCTGCAGACTGCACCCTCTCCAGCCCCGGACGGGCAGGCTCCTTCTCCACTGAAGCACAGTCACAGCAGGGCCCAGGTGCCCCTGAGCGGGCAGTCCTGCTGTCGTTGTGCCTAAACCAGTCAGCAAGAAGCAAGCTCACTGCCACACTGATCTGAGCACGATGCGCACAGTGCTCACTGGGAGAGTGGCAGACAGGCGCCCACTGCAGGCTACTGCCCAGGCCTAGCGCAGAACAAGAAGGTGCACCACAGTGACCCTCTGCAGGCCCAAACGAACTCACAGCTTTAAAATGTAATCTTAACACACAACAAGTTTTATAATAAAAATTAGACACTCATATTTTGTGTGTGCATTTTTGTGGGCTTTATACTGACCTACATCATCAGCCCTTTTTACTTTGAGACAGGATCGTGCTAGGTCACTACGTTGCCCAGGCAGGCTTGAATCTGCGGCCCTCCTGCCTCAGGCTCCCACAGCGCCGGGGTCACAGCTGCCCAGCTATCATTTATTTTCTAGTAGTTTAATTTACGGTGTTTACAAAAGGCTGTTACAGTGCCTCACAGCTGCATGAGAGGAAGCGTCCTCAAAGGCCCACTTGCTTCTTGGTTTGGCTGGACAGTCTTGGGGCTTCTATAGGGGAAAGCCAGGACGTACCCATGTTGCCATTCTCCATGCCACGGATGTCCGGGCGCAGGCGGCAATCTGTGGGTGGCAGGGTCTTCTCCATGCCTGAGTCTAGCTCGTTGAGACTCACAGTGAAGCTGGTGAAATTGTACATCTGCAGGAGCACAGGAACGTCATAGTAAATGGCCCCTGGTGCACATAATTCATGGTCTAAGCCGTAGTCACCCTGAATTCACTGCACACAGCCATGTGTCACTAGAATGTACCTGCCAGGGACACTGTGTCCTGCTCAGCCCAGCACCGGCTTCCTCCAGGCCCAGAGACACACTGCCTGCCTCTCTCCACACCACAGGGCCACCCAGGGTCCCAGCCCTGGCACTCCAGTCTTTTAGTCTTTTTTCAGACAGGGTCTTACTATGTAGCTCAGGCTGGACTCAAACTCACAGCGATCCTCCTGTCTCAGCCTCTCAATCCTCACAGGTGTGCGCCACCACACCCAGCCACTCTTCAGTCTTAGGGCACAGTGTATACACTGCAGCAAGGAGGCCCATTCTCTAGCCTGGTCTTTCATCCTGACTGCTGATTTGGACACCTGTTATTCAGCATCTGTCTTTTTTTAGTACTGGTGCTTGAAGCCCACACATTCATACTGAGCTACATCCCCAGCCCTTTTTCTATTTTTTATTTTGAGATAAGCTCTCACTAAATCACTAAGCTGCCCAGGCTGGGCTCAAACTTGCCATCCTCTTGCTTCAGCCTGCCAGAGTGCTGGGATGACAGCACGTACACCACGCCTGGCTTCAACATCTCTCAGTGTCAGAGAATCTTGTGTTCAGCACACCCAGAGTAGGACTGCAGTCTCTGAACCTGCTGGATGTTCTAGGCCCCGACCCTCTGCTCCCAACCGGCTTCCTCCTCTCTTGCCTGACACTGTGTCCCGGTAGGTGGCTCAAGGGCCACAGAAATACAGATCCAATCTGGTCTCCCCCAGTCCAAGTGACTTCCAGGGCACCCCGCATTGCTGGAAGCCACAGTCGAGGTTGCTGGAGAGCCCTGCAGCCTGGCTCCATGGCGCCCCCGGCCTGGGCCTCACATAGCAGTCTGCTCCGGGCTCTGCTCTGGCCGCCCCTCTCCACTGATGCAATGTCCCTGTCCCCAACACTGGCTAAGATAGCACCATGTGGCACGCAGGGGACACCAGGAGAGTGTCCCCTGCCTGCCACCAGCCACCTGCTGGGCTGGGGACACGGGCTGAGCCCTTGCCTGCCGCTTTCCAGTCTGCTCCAGCACTTGGCAGGCAGGAGGACTCAGCCAGAACCAGAGGACCGAAGGGTGGGGCAGAGGTTATTCTTAAGAAAATTTCCCGGAGAGGGGGGTTGGGGGGGAATAAAATAAAACTTATTTTAAAAATTCAATCCATGACAAAGAACACCTGAGAAATTTCATGAACAACAAACCAGCACTCCAAACAATTCTAAGCAATATCCTAGAAAAAGACAATGAAGGTCACAACTCCACGAGGCCCAACAGAGGGAAGCCACCAGGCAAGGTAAGAAACTAAAGGGAAAGAGGGAAAAAAATAAGAAATAAAAGAGCCAACCACAGCAAAATATCATGACAAGGATGAGTCAATATCTATCAATTATAACTCTCAATGTTAATGGCCTCAATTCACCAAGCAAAAGAAACAGACTGACAGAATGGATTAAGAAGCAAAATCCAGCAATATGCTGTATATAAGAAACACACCTAACTCAAAAAGAAATACATAGACTGAAAGTAAAAGGAATGGAAAACAGTTCTCCACGCAACAGGAACCCAGAAAAAAGCAAGGGTAGCAATCTTATTTGCAGACAAAGTAGATTTCAAACCAAAACTAATTAAGAGAGATAAAGATGGTCACTACATCCTTGTGAAAGGAAGAATCCAAGAGGAAGAGATGACAATCCTAAATATTTATGCACCAAATACGAATGCCCCCAACTATACAAAACAAATATTAACGGGCATGAAAAACCAAATAAGCACTAATACAATTGTAGTCAGGGACCTCAACACCTATCACAAATAAACAGGTCATCTAGACAAAAAATTAACAACAAAATCCTAGAACTGAACCAAGCTTTTGAACAAATGGACTTAACAGATGTTTACAGAGTGTTCCACCCCCCAAAATCAGAATACACATTCTTTTCGGCTGCACACGGGTCATTCTCCAAAACAGACCACATGCTAGCTCATAGGACATGTCTAAGTAAATGTAAAAGAATTGGTTACCCCCTGTATATTATCAGACCATAGTGCAATAAAATTGGAGATCAATAACAAGAGAAACCACAAAACTCCCACAAACACATGGAAATTGAATAACACCCTCCTGAACAACCAATGGGTCACAGAGGAAATTAAAGAAGAAATTAGACAGTTTCTACAAGTAAATGATAATGCCAGTACAAC